ACAGCAAAGTTTATAAGCGTTGCATAGACAGTTTCTTTGTAAATCAATCATATAACATAATATACTTAACGTATACTACCTATTATATTGTTTAAGTATACATCCTTAAAAAAAGACTTAAATATTTAATGAATGGTTTACAAATAAAATAATATCTAAAAATAAAATGTTAAATTAAAATTTTTTCTTAAAAAGATTATTAATGATATAAAAATACAAGGTATAGCTTTTTAGCGGTGCCGAAACATACAGTTGAATATGAACTATGCAAGCACTTTAACGAAGAGATTTTAAGCGAGATGAACATGAAAGATTGTAATAAAAAGACAAAGCTCTTAAAGACATCAAACAAGCTTTATAACATAAAATAGCACAGAAAATAAATATTAAGTTTAAAAAATACTTGATAAAAAAATTAAGATGGGATACATTTACATCAATACTGGAGCCTACATATATGAAAATTATCTTTTAGAATTGAAGTTTAAATAAAGGGGATAAAAAAATCTTTAACAAACCTTAATGTTTTTTTAGCATTAAATTAAAACCAAAGTAGATAATATCAGTTTGATTTTTAAAATAAATAATTTTTGGTAATTTTAATGTTAGCACGCGAGCCATAAGAAACAACTTGAAATTTCAACCAAGAAAGAAGAATACATCTAATTAATAGTAGTAAAAAAAAACCCTAAAAAGCATTTTCTTCGGCTATAGAAGGCAAGAGGACTTTGGTCTGGCATATGATAGTGAAGAGAGATTGGCGTCTCTAAGCTTGCTAAATTCTTATAAATCTTAATTTCCTAAATGAAAAAAAACAGCCAAATTGCTTCAAAACCAAGCCAAATTATATAACAAAGTTATATAAAATGAAAAGGGTATTATATAAAAAGATTATCAATAAAATATAAATTGTACTGAAAAGCATTCTTCTTTAAAGCTCGGTTTGCACAAAATAATTCACAGAACAAACATTGTTCAGAGACAAGTTTCAATTCTATTAAATTTGTTTGTTATTGATTAGTTATCCATTTCTCATTTCTGTCATTATTTTTTTCATTGTAAAATATTTTACTTAGAATTTTTAATTTATCATTGTCATTTTTAAAAAATTAATTTATATTTTTTAATCATAGTTGAGTTTGACATATTGAACCCATTCTATCATATAATAATATAGTTTTTAATGATATTTTAATTGTAAAGCAGATAAATTTTAAAAATATTTAATAAACCGTTAAATGATGTTCTTTTGGTTTCAAATAATTTTTTGTTCAAAACAAATATTAGATCATAATTTAATGTTAGAACCAGAAATAAATACATCAGATTCTTCAAGAGCATTAGAAAATAAAAGATTATCTAAAAATGAAGAGATACAACAAAAAACACAAGAAATGACTAAAACAGAAAATGAATTTTTAGATGAAAATCGATCTGATTCTAATTTATTAAATTATTTGACGGATTTCATAGAAGAAAGTTTAAATAGTAGGTATAAAAATGTTGGTTATGATTTATGTGATTTTTTGTCATCAATCACAGCAGAGAACAATTTGATGCCACCCAGTTGCACAAGAAGTACACTTATTACTAATGTATGGAAAAACCAATGTTGTACATTAGAACAATGGTAAATGACACAACACGTTTAAAGACTTTAAACAGGAATGAAAATGGTACGGCTGAACATTCTTACATTAATACATCTTGGAATGATGATACTAATTTATTATTACAAAAAAATCAAAATGATTTAATACAAGAGCAATATGTTAATTCGGAAAGTAACACTTTTCACAAAAAAATAATAATGTTTTGATTTCGTCAAATCATCAAACTTACCACGTAGAGAATAATAGTATAAACAAATTAAATGATATTCATACAGATGCCCTATTTAATGTTGATATTTCATCTACGATTGATAACTTTGAAAGTAGTTGTCATTATCTTTCATAATTAAGGGTAATATTTATTTAAAAATATAACAGTAGTTTTTCTTTTAATAATGCTTACAAAAATGATAACAACGTGAAAGATAAAAGAAAAAAATTAACAAAGTATCTAATATACAAACAAATGGTAATAAATACATTGAAATCTAAAAGAAAAAGAAACACCAGTAAAACGATGCTAAAAAATCAATTTACAGCTAGCAAGCGCGAACTTTATAAGAAATACAAGAATTCTGAAAGTAACTTTAGAATGTTGTTTAAACTTGTAATTAAAAATCGAATGCCGCAATTTATTAAGAAACTTGAAATATCTAATCTTTCTGATGACCTGAAACAAAAATCAATTCTTGCTCTAAGAAATCTTTCAAGTTTTTTAGATACGGTAAGCGCAATTAGAATCAATTTAAACAAAAAGAAAAATAAGGAATATTTTTTTTATTCATTAAATTTAGCATGTAATCAATGTAGGAGATCTGCAGGCGCGTCTTAAAAACTTTTAATTTTTAAATCGATTTGAAAAATTTACATAGGGTTTATGATATTGTTTTTTGTTGTATGTCTTGTTGTGATTTTTATGAAATTAATTTGTTAATATTTTCTGTTGACAGAAGATTAAATTCATTTTACAGTGAACTATTAAAATTACACGATAATTTTAAATAAAATTAAGCAATATTTAAGTTTAAAAGGTTATTTGTATTATTTTATAACATAGTTGCTCATTAAATTTATTCTTTTTAATAATTTATTTTTTTGTAGTAAAATTTACAATAAAAAAATATTTAAGTAATTAAACCCCGCGAAAGGCTTGGCCTGTCGGTCAACCTTTACAGTTTATACGTATAAAAGATTCGAAAGTTGGAAATATATAACTTTGCGGTATTAATATTTATCCGCATACAGTTTTTTTATATTTTAAAAATAATAAATTTTATTTTTTACTTCTTACAGCATAACGAATAAACAAAGTTAAATTTTATATAATAAAATTTTTAAAAATTTACAAAACCTTTCATAGGCCAAAAAGGGGCACCAATAAAAATTTTTTGGAATTGTTAACAAACGGGGGTTGATATTCTACAAATACGTCAGATTCTTATACTTATCATAAAGTATCGATGATTTTTTGACATTTAACATGAAAACAAAAAAAAATAACAATTAATAAATTATAAAAGATTTGGTCTTAATAGAAAAACATTTTTACATTAAATTTAGTAGTTTTATAGGATCAAGTCCTCTAAATTTCACGGTTGAAAAAACAATTTTTATAATTAATAAAAGATAAAATTTTTTCAGCAATATGCCTCTATCTAAACATTAATTCTAATTTAAACGTCTTTTTTAAACTCTAGTTAATTCCTTTATTCCTTATATCTACACCTTAAGCTTGTTATTATAAGATTCTTGGTGCTGAGTATGAACGCCAGAAATAAGGTCTACAAAATTGAATTTATGACAAAAAGTGTAATAGTCATATAGCCTGAGTTAGGTAAGCTTTTATAAGCCTTTCGTTCATCTCTGTGTATAATACTTCTGGTTTTAATAATAGAATTTATTATAGGTGCTGGGTGCGGGTTCACTCACTGACCACTTAGTCTTATTAACAGAATTAGTAGTCTTTTTAGATGACATCCTATTTATTAAAAATCCGCTTTTATATTTTTCCGGAAAAGTGTTTCGGATTTGAAACGAAAACATTTGATCTTAGAATTCCATT